CGAGGCGGACAGGTGCGCCGGGTGGGGCCGGTGTGTCCAGCTGACGTCTCTGCGCCTCAGCCCACCACGGCCTGCGGCCCACGACAGCCAGGCAGCTGGGGCTGGGTGGGGACAGCCCCCTAGGCAGGGTGACACAGACCTGGCCGTCACTTCGCTGCCCTGGCCAGGGCCCCTCGGTCACAAGCCGCCCCGTGGGCCTCCCCACACGCGCACTCACTGTCTGCTCCCTGGGGCCTGGCTCCTGTGGGGGCCCCCCTTCATGCCCTGGCGTGGTTGCGGGGTCATGCACAAAGGGCCCACCCACACAGGTGGGCTCCCGCCAGTCGGTCCCCGGGCCCCAGTGCTGGCAGAGGCTGGGCAGGGAGGGACACTGGTCGCCTGGAAGCGCACATGCACGGCTGCGGAGCCAGGACCACGGGGAGCCCACCAAGCCACACCAGCTAGGGGGCGAGGGGGAGAGCGAGGCGACCCAAGCAGGTGTTCCCCGAGCAGGCATCCCGGCCCTCGGACCCACGCAGTGGAGGCAGACAAGCGAGCCCCCGCCCAGCGTCACCCACGCCTGTGCCCTGGCTCAGAGCCGGGCTGAGTGAGGGCAGGAAAGGTGTCCAGAGCCCCGGGCACCCACATGGACCCTGACTCCTCTGCGAGGCTCTGCCTTCTCGCCCTGTGCAGATCCGAGGCACTCAGAGTCCCTGAAGCACCCCCTAGGTAGACGTTACGTGGCCTGTGTCACCCCAGACAGGCCAGGCAGGGACCTCCCCTCACTCCTCAGCTCCAATGAGCAGTTGGTGCTCCTGCGGGGACCTGGCCACCCTGGGGCCACCCCTGCCTGGTCTCCGGTGGGGACACGGTCCGGACCAACAGTCTCCACCACCAGGGAGCCTGTCCCGTCTGTGCCACTGTGACGGTGCAGAGGGCAGCAGCACCCTGGTGTTGCACCGCCGTCAGACACAGGGTAGGCCAGCCCAGGCTGCCCGCTCCCAGGAGGGAGGCTGAGACCCAGAGCCAGGCGGTACGGCGCAGGAGGGAAGGTCCCAACTCAGCCCGGCCTCCCTGTGCACGCCGGCACATGCGCCGTGACCCAGGGCTGGGCAGGCCATTGGGGGACTGTCTCTGCCTCTACTAGAGGTGGGGCTGGCCCACCCCAGAGGGGACCCCTGCTGTGACGGGGGCACAGACATTCGGCTCGGGCTCCCTCGCCTGCCTGGTCCTGTGACCGCCCTGACGCCTGCAGACACGAGGGCTCCCCTGCAACGCCCCGACCCCTAGCACGGCCACTGCCACCCCGATATCACTGCCCATGACAGCCAGGGAAAGACGGGGCCCCTGGGGGCTACAGGCACACCACTCTGTGGGCAGAGGGCCACCTGGGGGCCCCCGGCCGGCTCCAACCAGGCACAGGGAGACGTGGGGTCCCTGGCCGGCTCCGACCAGGCACAGGGAGACCTGGGGCTCAGCCCGCCGCAGCCCGCCCGCCCATGTGAGCCTGCCAGGGCCGTGGTCCCTCTCCCCGGGGACCTACCTGCCTTATCCCCTCTGGGGGCCCCCATCCTGCCAGGGCCCAGGCCCCGACACCCCACTCAGTGACGTCACAGTCCCTGGGCTGACATCACTGCACAGTGCCCCAGAGCAGGGAAGCCGGGGCGAGGGTGGCCTCCCTCAGCGTGGATGACACGATGGCCCCTGCCTGGCCCCGTCCCCCGAGCCCACCAGTGCCCTGGGGCTCAGGTAGCACAGGCTGGGCCTCTCACACTGCGCTGTGCCCCAGGGCGGTCTGGGAGGCGGGGACACCCCCAAGCCCGGCGCCAGGCGGGCAGGGCTCTGCTGGACTCCGCTGTGGGACCAGGCACAGGACAGGGCTGCAGGGTGGGTGCTCTGAGACTCCACCGCAGACAGCCAGGCAGCGGCGGGGCCTGGGTGGGAGCACAGGTGGGGGCTGGGACCAGGACAGGGAAGTTCTGGCCACTCCCTGCTCCTGTGGGTGCCAGATCAACTCCCGACGGGCAGAGGGTGCCCCCCATTTGGGGGGGAGAGGACTACCCCATGGCGCCCACGCGGCAGCGGAGGGCACGAGACACGCCCAGCGAAGACAGTGTGCGCCCAGGCCCCGGGCGAGCACAGCCCGACACCATGCCTCACACACCTGCCACGCACCTGGGCCTGCCAGGGTCACTGCGCCCCCACGGGTGTCCAGAGGTCACCTGAGGCACAGACTCCCCGGACAGTGGCCTTTACAGGTGGCTTTGTCCTTGGCAGTCTGCGGGGAGGAGTCCTAGCCAGATGGGGTGACTTGGGGACAGCAGGGAGGATGGCTACGCTGCAAGCCCTGTCCCTCCAGTGGCGTTCTGAGCAGGCACGCACATGCGCCGCTGTGATTTTCAGACCTCCGGGACTAGACCCACAGACGGCCCTTAACCGCCACGCCACCTGCTGGCCGGGACCGATCTCTCTTTTTCTTTTTTTTGGAGAGGTTTTTGCTATAGAGCGCGTGCGCTCGCCAAACAGAGAGAGACAGAAAGACAGAGAGCGAGAAATCACCCCCCGGGGGGACGGCCACACCGCAATCCCTTCTCCTCTGTTCTCCTCTCGGGATCTTGGGCACGCACGCACATGCACCCGGTGTGAGTTTAAGCCACTGGGTCCGGGACTCGAACCACGGTCGACTACATGGGAGTCCAGGGACATAGCCATTACGCTAACTGCTGGTCCCTGGCCAGGAACGATCTTTAAACACACTTTTTAATTCTTGTCTTTTGAACGCCACAGCGCACGTGCTGAGAGAGAGGAAGCATGCCCACTGGGCACCGTAGCCCCAGCCCCGTCCCCATTGCTGTCCTGCTGGCGTGTTCCTCAAACTGCCCGGGCCGGGACTCAAGAGCGCGTTGGGCCACACGGGACCCAGCTCCCCTGTGGTGCCACATGGCGCCCAAAGGCCCTTTTAAAAAGACCAGCAGAGCCATAATGGTTACGGTGCTGGACCCCCAGGCAGTTGGCCCCAGTTCGAGTCCCAGACCCAGCAGTTAAAGCTCACGCTGGACACGTGTGCGTGCGAGCCCAAGATCTAGAAGGAAAATGGAGAAGGGACTGCAGTGTGGCCGTCCCCCTTGGGGGGTGATTTCTCGCTTTCTGTCTCTGTGTGTCTGTCTCCGGTGAGTGCACGCGCCCTATAGCAAAAATCTCTCTAAGAAAGACTTCAAAGTAAATTACTTGTCAGAGTACGATCACAGCTGGGCGCAGGGGTATGGCTAAGGCTCTGGACTCCCACGGTTCAGTCAGAGCTCGCGTCCCTAGGCCTGGTGGTTTGCGTCCTCACTTTCTCCCTCTTTCTGCTCAAATAAGAATACAATAACATGGGACCAGCAGGTGGTGAGGGGGTTAAGGCACTGGAGTCCCCACTAGGCCGACTGTGGTTCGAATCCTGAACCTGGACCTGGCAGCTCGCCCCACCCCCTTTCTACGGCAAAAGTCATGTTAAAGAGAAATAAACAAAATAAATCATTCTAAAATAAAGAAGACAGTACCCAGCTGTGATGTGGACTCCCGGCCGGCCTGTCCCTAAACACCCACAGGCCAGCAACAGCGCTGGGGCCACCTCCGGTGCTGCCACACCTCCGCGGTGGCCCCCAAGCCCATCACTGGTCGCAGGGTGACTGTGACCCACTGTGCTCACCCTGGAAGAAGAGCTCGGGCCAGCTGCACCGCAGGGAAGCTTAAGACCACGGTTCCCCTGTGTGGACCCTCCCAGGGCCTCCCTCTGCGGAGGTCCTAGCCTGGCGGGTGGTGGGCAGCTCCCACGCGGCTGATGCTGCGCCCCTGACCCCTGGGGTTGGCCAAAGAGACACCAGTGAGCCGCCCAGTCGCCCTGAGCACTCGGCCGGTCAGGAAGACATGGAGTTAGAGGGTCCAGCTGCAGGGCAGCGTTTGGCCGGGGCTCTGGACACAGGTCGGGGGGCCTCGGCGGGGCGGGTGGGCAGTCTTGTCCCTGTGTGCAGGGGGGAGCACACGTGCCACCACATGCACCCTCCCTGGCCTCAGCACCACCAAGGGACCTCCCGCCCCTGGAACACCACAGAGGGCCTACCCAGAGGCCTCACCACAGCAACTCTGAGGGGACCCAGGACAGAAAGGTCAACCGTCTCCAGCACCACTGTCCTAGGGTGCAGACTCCCCACGAGCCCGGTATACCCCACAGCCAGGCCCTGAGCCTGCAGCCTTGCGATCACTTCCCTTGGCACCCCAGAGGGAACCACGTGTGATTAAAGATGACAAGCTCGCCCGCTCAGCGACCTCGAGGACGAGTCCCCCAGCCCGCCCAGGTCCCTTCCCTACGTCGGGCAGGAAGTTGCTTGCAGCAAACTGCACTGACCAGTAGTGGACTCAGGCCAGGCCCCCAGGGTGGGCCTGCCACTGGGGGCTGCCAGCCCTGCCTCCTGCCCCTGATCCCAGCCCCCAGCCCTCAGGCTCTAGCCAAGAACTCCATCCCCCTCCCCCGCTGCAGCCTCTGGACTCCCCCCTCACACCCACACTGCCAGCTGCCACCGCCTCCGCCACCGGGGTGGACATGGGGACTGGGGTCTGGCTGCAGGGAGGGCTGGGCTCCAGGAAGTAGGGGTGAGGGCCGAGCGGGCAGCAGCATGGCCCCAGCAGGCCTGGCTCAGACACTGCACCCTCCCTCCCTGACCGTGTGTTTCCGGAAAACAACGCCGGTGGCCAGAGCGGAAGGGGGAGGGCGCAGCGGCAACAGGTCCCCCAGGTCAGAGGCCCTTGCAGGCCCCCAGTTCCTGGGGTTGTCCCCTCAACAGATGCAGGGCCACACGGTGGGGGTGGGCCGGG